TTCTGGAAAGAGCCTTTGCCGAAGCAGAAGAAAAAACTAACAATAGGAAAGAGCTGCCTTCCGTATTCGCCTCCATCTTATCGTTTTATAAACAACAACTTCAGTAGTTTGGTATCGTCTCAAGAAGGAGATTTTTGCCGGCTGAAAGAGTGCGCTGTGTTCAGGAGAAGCAAGGATAAAGTCAAGTCAAGGTTAAACAGTATTTATTTAGTCGTTCAAGGAACACAAATATAAATTCCCAAAAAAATTGTTGCGCTTTTATTTTGTAAAGCCTTTTCATTAAAGTGACCTTTGAGATAATTAATCGTAAAACGTGATTACTTTCAATATTCAATCTTTTAAGAGGGAAACAAGCGCCTTTTACTGTCAGATCAATAAATTTGTATATAAATATTTAACTTTAGGAAAAGTCCAGAAGAGCTGGGATTATTCATGTAAAAGTTAATCTTTTTTCGACCATAAAATCCCTTTGATTGTAATGACCGATAAAGGTAAGCTTTAAAAATGTATCTGTAGGTCGCGAACCTTGGATGTCATTCCTTTAAATAGTTCATCTCGTTGAAAATGCGCAGTTCAAATATAAAAATTTGACTGAGCAACACGAGATGGGTGGCATGTTTACATAGCACCTCTTTACCTCGTCCGCCGGACTGACCGGAAGATGAGGTCAAATTAAATGAGTTTATTTAAACATGCACTCCGGCGACTAAAAATATCTCTTATTAGAGTTGCTTCAGAACCACAAATATTAGAGGAATCTTCTGTTTATCTTACCCATTTCCTCCCTACATTTCTCAAACAGTGATTTTCTTTGCTGATTGACATAGATATGTTAACTCTGAGAATTGGGGAGTTGATCAGACAACATCCCTTTTCTTTATTCTCGTCACCAATGAGCTTGCCTTTGTATTGATATCATAGGGGGAGGGGAAAAATGAATTGGTCAGCAGTCCTGGTAAAGGGGCTAAAACTCTACAATGAAGATCAACAAAAATATGCTTAGCATTTAGTAATGACAGAGAGAAAACCATTACAATCTGGCTACGTGACTTGAACAAGTCTAAACAGATTTTAGGTGGAAAAATCAATGAACATGTATTTTCAGACGCATTAAAATCGAACTTGTTCTCAAAAATTCATCCTTTAATAAGACATTGAAAACATGATAGCGAATGACAGTTTTAGGTATATTGCATTGTACGTGAACTGTAGTTTGTGTTACGTCACAAAGGTGAAAGGTGAGTGGTTACCACGCACAAAAAACACTCTTACCACTATGCCGCAAGATAAGAAACCACAAAAGTCCAAAGATGAAAAGGCTCTGCTCTGGACATCACCTACGCTCGTCACTCGCAGCACGTTCAGTTGAAAGTCTCATTAAATTCAATGTTTTTTCGATGAGACTGAAGTTGAACCACGACACAAATAACATTCATGACCGACACGCTTTGCACACTTCTTTTAATTCGTTTGATTTTGTTTTTGTACATTTTCTTACAGCTACTTCCATTTTCATGAACTGATTGAGCTAATAAAATTCTGACTAATATATGACGTACGATTCATTTACCTCTACAAAAATATACTTTTAATATGCCTAACTACTAAGTTACTTTTTTAGTGGACGACCTTCTACAGGTGAGTATATTTTTAAAAAGTTGTGTGACCACAGGAAAGACAACAAATGAAAGCTAACTATGTCAGTATTTAACATCGGAAAGCCACAAAAAATATAATCTTGGCATATCTACAATTGATGTTTAGCAATAAGAATTGACTTAAACTTCGTATTAAAATATTTGAGAGAGAGAAGCTTTATGTCACCGCTTATATCATTCCAAACTTTAGCACCCTGGAACCTTATAATGAAAATTCCAGTTAACAAATAGAGAAGCCTTGGTTGTGTTCTGTTCTGTTGTAAAGCACACAGGAAACGGTTAGAGCACGAAAGAAGAGTAGGGAGAAACACGAAACGTATTCGAGTATTTCTCTCCACTTAGCCGCTTCCTAAGTGCTTTACAGGAGAACAGAGCACAGTCAAGGCTTCTCTGTTCGTTTCATAATAAAGCCATGATGAGCTAGCCGCGTAGGACCTCAGCAAGATCGCGGTCGCTCTGACACCGTCATGATTAGTATGAATTTCCACTGTTATGCCAGTCTGGCTATATTTTTCATCATTCCTGTTTTGTTCTGCTTTGTTTTTGAACACGAAACTACATATACTACACGAGTGTTAGCTGTGTTTGATTTTTTAATACCGTAAGTAAGCTTGCAATCTGAGTGTGAAAATCTTCAAAACTCGAACTGTCCACTTCGTTTTCTCCTTGAGGATTTTCGTTTCTGCTAATAGAGTGATTTAGCAAGAGGATGGGAACGTCATTTCAGAACGCGAAAGCGCGTGAATAGTCTGGACACGACTCAATTTCGACTTCCGGTGTTAGGGTTGCTGTTCTCCCCAACAAGTTCAGGACGTAATTTCGCTGCGATTTGCGTAAATGATGCATTTATAAACGAGATAATGCTGTTTGGAATAATTTCAGAACTCATTTCCAGGATAACCAGGTCCATTTCTTTGTTTCATTCCACGTATTTGTGAAAATTTACCGCTACATTTATTCTGGATTTCCGAAAGGAAACACGATCGTTAGTAAGCGATCCAAGAATTCGGGGTTCAGTTCACTATATTGAGCAAGGTTTTAAACGACGTAAGGGCTTTTCTTTGATACATTTCTTTAACCCTATATGAAAAGTCTACGAATGGGATGCTGTTAATTTTATTGTGAATCAATTCATCAATAAATTAAACTTGCTTCATGTTGAAGTTTATCAAAATGAAATATCACAAGGCTTACCTACTGTATTACTCAGTGTTATTTGTTGTCAATCTCGTGTTTACCATGATTAAAAAATATTCTGCGAATTGAAGTCAGAGAAAAAAATTTAAGAATAGCTTGGGTTTGCACTTTTTTATGTCTTTAATTTTTGATCAGCGCCGATGAAAACTAAGACAAGAAAGTCATGCAGCTAGATTCATTATGGATGCTAGTTCTAAGGCCTCTTCTGTCAGATTATTTGATGATTTAAGTTGGTTACCTTTATACGAGGAGGCTACAATTTCCATATATCTAATTGCATTTTAGAGACTACGAGGAGAAATGCCTGCGTATATTACTCGCCTTTTAACACGTATTAGTGATCTTCACTCTCGCAACACTAGATATGCAAACTATAACTTAGTTTGCCCAAAGTTTAAACGTAAATTAGATGGCGGTAAAACTTTCAATGTTACCACATGTCAACTATGAAACAGTTTACCTATCACTATACGACAAATGACATCAATACTAAGCTTTACAAAGGCCTTAAAGCAATTTTTTTCTCGGAAACCAAAAGAGTTTGAATCATTTTATAGTTTAATATGTTTTTATTTTTTAGTTTCCTGACTCTGTCATTTAATCCTTGAGATCTACTTTATTTCAGATTTTATCAAACGATTTACAAACAATACTCACGAGCAAGTAGTTAAGACATAATCTATTAACAGTTAGTATTTTTATCGTCCAATTACAGGTCGGAGCCATTCCTGTCTTTAGTCGCTGCATAAAGGTGTATGGTTTCATGTTTCGAATGTTCGATCAGCTTTTACGGAATGTTCGGTCAAAATCTGCCGATTTCTACCATTTTCATCTCCATATTGAAAATAACGCTATCACGATGCAACGCAATCAGAGTGGGCACAGAGTAAATCGAATCTAAGGCACTGTTTTCTGTTTTGTGAACGCTTAAGAACTCGATCAGCGATCTTCGTCATGAAAAAGTTACATTAGTGACGTTTTCTGAACGGTTTTGACGGCCACAGTGTAGCATAACAGGAGAAACTTATGTGAGATCGGAAATGGCATCGAGGTTTCTTCGGTCTTACTTTGTGAAATCGACGGCGATATTTCGTGTGTTTTTTTGGATTTCGTTTAAGATCGTGGGCCATGCTTGCTTGTAAACTTAACTAAAAACACTGTAACGTAACACACGCCTATATCTTATGCCCGTCCAGCCTCGATTCGGTGCGCCACGCAATCCAAGATGGCGCTGCGTGATAAAGGTGTTTATTACATAGATACTGATGAAATACCAGGATTTTTCCTTTTACTAAAAAATCATATCTTCATCGCGCGCAGTGAAGATACTATTTTTATTTTTCACGTGCGAGGATATTGATGTCGCCATGGTTACTAACATGATGAGCCAATTACAAGAGAGTTTCCCGTTCAGGCACGCGGCCGGTTCTTTTGAAATTACGTAGGAATTTCATCAGCATCTATAAAATAAACAGAACATTACATGGCCGCTTGGGGATACGAATTTTATCTCCTCGTGCTGAAAGTATCTCTTAAGAAATGGTTGACTTTTGTAAGACAAAAGATAAATATCCTGTGTTTTCTTATAAGTATTACATTAGTCGGTAACTAATTACGTTACTCTTTACAAAGTGTCTTCAAGCGAAGTACATTCCTTTTAACATCTCAGGGTGAACTTGGACAGCTTTTGCCAAAATCTGCGGGCTTCTGTCCTCTCCATGACCACCGCTGCAAGACGAACCATTCTCAGGGCTGAATGGAAAGAATTGCAAAAATAGTTTCACTAATATCAGGTGTAACAGAAAGAATAAGAATTTAAACTCAACTTCCTCCAGCTAGCTAAGCTTGGAGTCCTTTACCCCTCGGCTCTCAAATATCCCTACCCCTTGGATTTCAAACCCCCTCTACCAAAAGGACCTCAATCATCCTTCAACAATCAAGCCCTTAATTTACCCGTCCCTTGGGCCTCGTCCCCCCTCCTCCGCCTATCCCCTAAACCGTAGATAACTCCCCCTGTATCCCCTGCCCTACGATTTCAGATTTCATGGGTCTCTCCAGGAACTAAAACTTTTTGCTCGCAAAGCTTCTACAGTCCTTATCCGGAAGTCAATGAGTCAAATTCCACCAGGTTCAATTTCCCTGCCCGGGAATGTGATAATATTTTCTGATCTCGCTTTTATGGTAAAAAAAATCACAAATTTCCAATCATCAGTCATATTTATGCCTTGGCCAGTAAAGTTTATTAGGTTATGTGGAATTTCACCATCTTTCATGACTGGGGACACTCTTCGTCTACCGTGCACAATATCTCACCTTTCCCGTTCTCTTTCTATCAAATGAAATCGCGCTCTGAATGCCACCAAATGCGCATAATACGCGGGGGCTGGTATGGATACTGCTCGTGTGCACCTGACGTAAGTATGACACAACTGATATGTGAGGGCCTGGATCTCGTCTGCTTTGAAATTATTGTCGTCCCACAGGACGTGATAATGCGAAGGTCGGCTGGTGCCCTGCAAGAGGAATGGGCGGGTTCATTAGCGTCTTGTCTTTGTTCTAAACACAACCAAACAAGCCAGGGGATGGTGATACTACGGATCGCTTCATGCTACGGAAAGCAGCATTAAGTTGGGCAGCTGTGTAACCCGGTGTTGTATCTAGACTTTTGCTTTTGATAAGAAAGGCCACGAAATACAAATGGCATGAATTGGGCGTGCTAAGGAGCTTAGAAATCCCCCCGCTAAAGGGAGGAGAGGTCAGAAAACTCTCGAAGAACGATCGGAATTTAAATTCTTCTTCTGATCCCTTTTTTAAATAATTCGGTCCTCCCAGACACCAATAAATCCTCGATTTCCGCGAGGCATCTAGGTACGTAGTAAATTCCCAAGATGTGATTGTTGATTCTCCCTACTAGCCGATTCAAACTCCATTGTAAATTTGCCAAGAGAATCTAGTGTTCCATCAAGTTCACATCAGGACCAACTGATACAAAGTGTAAGTATTCTCACCAACTGCTTGCTTTATGTTTAACAAAAAATCTGGGGAGAGTTTTTATGTCACTAAGCCCTGAGAATTAGAGAGTGACAAAGCCTTACCTGAATTCCAGCGTGACTGCAGAGGTAGAAGTCAAACTCAGTGGGATGAGTTATACCAACATCAACTGTGGTTCCGGGGGGCACGTTTTGACTATTTCCACACTAAAACCAACCACAACAAACAAATATTAAATGTGTGAAAACCTAAATGAAGCGGAATCCGCCAAATTCAGCAATAGGAGTAGGGACGCATTGATGATCCATTTTTTCCCTTTCAACACTCTGACCCCAAAGAATGACAAGCATCTAATTTCTCCTTACAATATCATCCCTGAGGAGAATAAGGGAATTGATCATTAGCTGAAGAAGCTCTTAATTTTTGGGAAAAATTCCCCTTGTCATTACCTTAGGAAATGTAAAGAGACCAGTACGGAGAATATGAAGACTGGTATTAGGCTGAAAGGGATTAAGAAACACTTTCCTCCCTTTCTCTTGAGTTGAGAGAAATAAAAATCTGCGCATTCCCGCGCGCATAGTCACACGAGTGGTTTGTTTACAGCACATTGATGAGTCAAGGCCTGCGGGCGGAGGAAACTGGGGCTAGTGCTCTAACTAAACCTCCAGGAAAACGTTGTGTTTTCCACTACTTTCCTCCCCAAAATTATATTTTTGTACCTAAGAAGATAAATACGCTCTCGAGACATTTTCGTCTAAAATTTACAAAAAGATATTAAAGAAGAAGTAAAACATGGCGAGCCAGTTTCATAAGCCATACCATGTCCTCTTTATCCTGACAGAAAAATCTGGTGTGATGTCTTTTCTGCACAACAATGAAAGTGATGCCCGGCTGGTACCCAACTTCCAGCTTGATGCAAGCCTCACGGATGGCTTTTAGTTCGTGACACAACACCTAGTGACAAATTTAGGGTCATGACAATTTTAGTTCTAAAAGTTCGCGAAGAACTTCGTACACTATTGAACACTGACTGGTCTTTCAGCATGTGTTATTGTATGCAATGTTTTTGGCAAAGACACAAGTTTCAAAGTATTAATATCTTATCTAGAATAAAAAAGGAGCAGCAATACTCTTCAGTTTAAACAACGTAAAACGGAAAAATATTCGGCAGGAATAGACAGCAAATAATATTCACCCATGAACCCCTGTAACTACCATCACTACCTCACCTGTCTAAACTGGCCTTCACTGACTCCATCACGGTAAAAAATGATCCTGACTGGCTTGTGTCTCGTCGAACGATAAAACTGAATCAATAGCTCGCGGACCATGACCGCTAATTCGGCAATGATTTCCTGTAAAATAAATCATTGAGCGGAGTCTAAGATCACGTGAGAGTAGGAATAACAAAATGTTTTCTTCAAAAGCTCATGGAGTGCGACTTCGACTGCATTCTCGCGCGACTATCGTACCTGTCGATGTGTCTGAACTCGAACTGAAGCACAGTACCGGCTGGGATGAGCATCCATACTGCCGACAACCTACAAACACAAAAAGTTATCTTTAGGTTTTCCATTTATAATTTATTTGTTTTCAAGTCAAAGTAAATTCATATCGCTGAGTGCATTTGTACAAATGCACGCTTCAAGAGGGGTTTTATTGAGGAAAGTTCTCGCAACAAATTCCACGGGCTTCACTGTGACAATATTGGAAAGAAAAAGGACACGTAAAAATAACAACAACAACAAAAACTACGAAACAAACAGAACAGGAGAGATACCGAATAAAACAACGCTCAACTTACAGCAGCAATTGATGGTCGTTTTTCATCCCCAGCTGCAGGGTGAGTTACATCAGCTCCAAGAAATATCACAGGTTCACGAAACACAGGAAGTCTGTAAACATGGATTCAAATATTTAAGAACCAGTCGTAATTACCACCCAAGGGAAAGGGAGGATACGAGGATTTTGAGGGGGAACGGAGTGGGGAATCAGTCGTCATCAACAAAGTATAAATGAGAGACTATAGAAAATTGACATCCAACGAGTGAGGAAATATAAGAATATTACAGAGCCGTCTGGGGGATCTGGTAAATCTAATCTGACACGACAAAAGAATAGAAACATTCCAAGATAACTGGACGTAATTTGCCGAGCATATGCATACATGAACTAGTAAAGAATAACAGACGTGCGAAAAAATCGTTTTCTCGCAGATTTCTCTCAACAACCCAAACTTCTCCCATCCGTTCCAAGCCTGGCATATCCCCATCCCTCCCCCCTCCGCTGCCCCTGTAAGTACCACTAAGTACATCAATCTTACCGAACATCTGGGGCCAAAATATTGTTTATTCCTCCGAGCTTGGCATTTATCTTTAGGCACAGATTTGACAGTGTTTGAGCTTGGAACTTGGTTACGTTCTTAGCTTGCACACACTGAGTAGCGATTCCCAGCATTGTATCACCGACTCGTTTGACTTCAGCTATAAGAGAAATGTGAACAATACAACATTGAGAATCTACAATCTATAAAGGATCAAAGTCAAAACATTCAATCAGTGAGTCAGTGAGTCAGTCAGTCTGTCAGTTAGTCAGACAGTCAGTAAGCCGGTCAGTCTGTCAGCCGGTCATTCAGACAGTATTGAAAGATACTCGCACTGTGAATTTGTCGCCTCTCCTTCCTTTTTTTCTTTAACTCACCATATACGGGCGTTTTCCCAGGCAACACAAGAATAATGAGCTGAAGATTGGCAAAGGTAGATTTCAAATGTTTAAACATGGGCTCAACCTGACAAGAAAAAAAAAACGGCAAATCTCTTCCATCTCTTGCACTTCACACATAATTCACGCAAGGCGAAAACTAGAATATAGTTTTGTAAAACGAAGAATGAGGGTCGTGTTTATCTATACAAGTTTCTATGCAAATGTCTTTCCCAGTTGTTTTGCATGTAGGAGATGGGAAATTTTTATTCCTGGTAGTTTGCATTTGAAAATAGTTTCCTTTCCTAGAGGTCTCCTCGGTTTCGAAGACAGATGAAGACAATTGGAACACCTCGAGTGTGTTTTTACCTGAGACTAATGAAATTTACTTTTGAAACGATACACAGAGAACTGCTCAATAAATGATTTTTTAACTTAACTACAGTAGTCAAACGTAAGTAAACCTATCACGACGTTAAGGAGAATTTTGAAGTTGAGCTACTCACATCCTCCGCTCTTTTAGCGTATTTACAGAAGCATGGTTCAGATTTGATTGGCATCCCAGTCTCGCCACTAATCTTCATCAGCTGATGGGCGAAGCTCTTCAATACTCTGTCGTTGACTTCCCGTGGGTCGACAAAGCAAGCGATGGCCCAGACTTTTATCTCAATGCCGTGAAATAGCTGCTTCCCCCTCATATCCCATGCTCCTGGAAAGCAAAGCATGAAAATGAAAGTTGGACGGTGCAAAAACAGCATAAAAATATATGGAGACGAAGATAGTTTTATAACCAGCGACTGGAGTAATTTTCTTCATGACAATGAGAATTATCAAGGCCTCGTTCTGTGTCATTCATCTCAGTCTTTGGCTACGGAAGGTAACACAAAACTCTGGCCGAGATTATTTTCGCCATCATGTAAAAATCGAGTCGCGAATAACTGTTTTGTTTCTTTCTAGCGCCTCTGCTGTCATTGTTCTGTGTAAAATCGTCCTTGTGTCGAAGTAAAGCGCTCACTTCCTACATCAAGAGGGTTAGACAATCCTGTTTCATGATTTAATGGCAACGGACGTAGTTGGTGACTGAAGAATGAACTAAAAATTCTTCTGAATATACCTCACTTCACTGGGTATAGCATTTGAATTGTTTCGTCATTTTTACTATCATTTAGTGATTTTCCACAAAACTGTTCACTATACCTTGTTTCGGGGAAATTTTCAGTTTGTCCTAAGAAAAAATTAATATTAAATCAGACATATAACAAAAAAAAAGTGATATGCAATCAGAGGTTCGGCAATGAAAGTTCTGTAAAGGACGCTTGAAAAATACTATGCAACAACAAATATTGACGTGAATGAAAGTGATCTTCGCAGTTATGTGCACTACTTAGGCAGTAGTGAAAATAAGGCCTGAAAAAAATTCAGGCCTGTACGGGATTTGAACCCATGACCTCTGCGATACCAACTGAGCTAACAAGCCAACTGGGAGCTGCCTAAGTAGTGCACATTACTGCGAGGATCACTTTCATTCACGTCTTTATCCGCAGTTCAAATATATGACTTTCATATATTCTTAACCGTTTATTCATCACTTCACGGGTTTATTTAAAACCAACATCATGACCAGCTCCCAGTTGGCTTGTTAGCTTAGTTGGTAGAGCGCTGCACCGGTATCGCAGAGGTCATGGGTTCAAATCCCGTACAGGCCTGAATTTTTTTCAGGCCTTATTTTCACTACTGCCTAAGTAGTGTACATTACTGCGAGGATCACTTTCATTCACGTCTTTATCCGCAGTTCAAATATATGACTTTCATATATTCTTAACCAACAAATATTGACATACTTCAAACCTCCGTCTCATTGAAAAAGAAATCTATCCTAACTTTTTGCAATTCCTCCACGTGTGGGAGCGCGGTGGCCTAGTGGCTGGGTCATTGTGCTGTATTCTTGGGATAAATAATTTTTACTTTCACAACGTCTCTCTTTACCCAGGAATATAAATGGATACCGGCGAATTGTCAGGAAAGCCTAATGAAATGCTAGGGGTAGTAGCACTACTCCTAGTCGCTTTATGTGATAGGAACCGGGATAAGTTTAAGCTTAATGGGCCCCTTGGCTCGAGTTCAGACTTCACCCTGGATCTTTTTAATTCTTCTCCATTCTTTTCCATCCTCGATCACTTTCACCCATTTGGTTATTTTCTTTACTCGAGGGCGAAAGCTTTTTAAAAGCATTTCAACATCTCCAAACCGGATTTAACCCAAAAAAAAAAATAATAATAATCACTCGAATACAATTACCTTCCCACCGTACTGAAGCTTTGGGGCCTGAAGTACCCGCCCTTGAAGGTCCACCATTTTGTCGTTAATTGAGATTCCAAAATCGTTGACATATTGGTCATTGTTGAAGTCAGCTTTCC